TAAATATGTATATACAATATTCTTAACTACTTTAAAGGACCTGGTGGACAATATTTCTCCATTCGCTTCTGTTTTGTGCGTTTCTTTTCCAGTCACTCACCTTCATGTGTTTAAAGTTTTCCTCCACTTTATTAATCCATCTCGTTCTGGGTCTACCTCTTCTTTTGGAGCCGATTAATTTTCTGGTTATTACTAGTTTAGGCATTTTGTTTACTGCCATTCTTTCCACATGTCCCAACCATCTGATTCTTTGTGACTTGACGAACTTGTTAATGGTAGGTTCTTTGAATAAAGCCATTAATACATTGTTGGCTCTTCTCTCCCAACCATCTTCTGTCTTCCGTCCTCCGAATATGCGTCTCAATATTTTCCTTTCCCATCTTTCCAGAGTATCCTCTTCCTTCTTATTTAATGTCCATGCCTCACCGGCATATGTTACTGTGGGTCGAATTACTGTTTTATATATTCTGAGTTTACCTTGTCTAGAAACCCTATTTTGCGTTCAGTAGGGCTCTTAAACTACCTAATTTTTTATTTCCTTTTGCTATTCTGACTTTGAGCTCCCATTTCCGTTTTCCATTTTCATCGAAAACTACACCCAGGTATTCAAATTTGTCCACTCTTTTAAAACTATAGCTTTTACCACTTACAGACCTCACACTAAAGTCTTCTTTTTTCCCTTCTGTCCCTCCCATGATCATATATTTGGTTTTTTCTTCATTTAATTCCAATCCGAATTTTTGTGTTTCTCCAATGATTTTCTTCACAATTCTTTTTAATTCTTTCTCGGTTTTTGCTGGGATCGTTAGATCGTCAACAAATGCCAAGCACTGGTGCTCATTTGTCATGATCGTTTCTTCCACCTTTATGATGCATGTTCTGATTACTCACTTATCATGTAGTGGATAAAGGATCTCCCTGTCTCAAGCCTTTTGCAATCGTAAATTGATCTGATATGTGACCCTGCCACGCAATTTCACAAATAGAGTTATTTAATGTCATTTTAACTAGCCGGATCAGTTTCTGTGGTATACCTAAATGTTCCATTTCTCGATACATTTTGACTCTATCGACTTTATCATATGCTTTCATATGCTGTCCTTTCTAAAGCCGGCCTGATACTCATGTAGATTTGTATACCATGTCTAGTAAGGCTATACCTCTATAGTTCTCACACTTCAGTTTGTCTCCTTTTTATGCAGAGGGCCATAAATTTTTCCATTCCGTCATTATTTCTGCAGGATCGCTAATTAAATTTCCGTCTTTACCTTTCATATAACTACAGTGGCTTTGGTAACCTTTTCCTATCTTTTTAACTTCTTGATAGAAGGACCTCACCTCTTTATTTTGAAACTTCTCTTCTATCTCTTTTAATTTCAACTCATTGTGGTATCTCTTTTCCCTTCTACACAGAGCTTTCAATCTTCCTCGAATTATTCTATATTCTTGTTTTTTACACTCTTTATTATCTGTTAATATTTCTTGTCTGATCTTCTTCTTTTCCTTTGCTATCGCCTGACATTCTTCGTCAAACCAATCTTTGTTTGTACTTCTCTTGGAGTCGCACTTAACTATTTTCTCGCTAGCTTCTCCTACGGCAGATTTAATTTGTTCCCAGGCTTGATCTGTCTGTAAATTTTAGTCACATTGTTGTATAATTTTATTTATTTCTTCTTCATATTTATTTTTTATTTCTACTTCCTTAAGTTTTTCAATATTGTACTTTCTCCTCGTTTTATTGTTCGATTTCTCTTTTTCTTCCAACCTCCCCCCACATGTGACTTTACCGAGGTAATGGTCCGAGTCGATTTCAGCTTCTCTCATACTTCTTACCTTCTGAACAATATTCATATATTTACTTTCAATCATAACATGATCTATTTGATTCACCGTCCTTCCATCTGGGGAGACCCACGTACCTTTGTATATCTCTTTTCGTTTTAGTTGTGTGCTTCTCACCTCCATGTATCCAAAATTGTTAAATATAATGTATTAAAAAGCAGACAACTGTTTTCAAAAGTAAAAGACAACTTTTTATAAAACCAATCTGCAAGTTGCCTTGTTCTGATTGTCAAGAGTTATGTCGGTCAAACTTCACAATGGCTCAAATAGGGAATAACAAAAATCAAAAGTGACAATATAAAAAAAGAAAAATAGTTGACCATCATTTACAAAGTGGACATTCTTTGTCCTAAAATGTTGTTTGTGAAGTAAAAAAAATCACTTGTCACTTAAAATGTCACAGTAGAACTTCTCTATCAAGTTCTCCGGGAACATCAAGAAGAAACAGAACTAATCTGACTTAATGACAAGTGTGACCTTGCCGAAACGTCGCCAAAACAATGGTTTTTATAAAAACCAAAACTATTTAACGCGGAGTCAAACCCGGAAAACAACTGAAACCACATATAGCTCCCGCGGAAATTTTCTAATATATATATATATATATATATATATATATATATATATATATATATATATATATATATATATATATATATATGAACAAATCGATACAATGGCCCACTTCGACGATTCGATTCGTTGTTAAAAATTTGTACGTTTCCGGCGACATGTCTCTCTAATCCTGAAAGAAGACGCCAAACCGCTTGCCCCCCTAGGGATACGTGTTCGTTTGAGACGAATTGTGTGCATCAATGTGTGAGCTGATATTTGATATTACGTGATATATGACGACAACCGTAATATTGTAGATGCGGTAACATTTCCTGGGTTTCATCCAGATCGACAAAAGGTTTTGACAAATCGATACCTTTTTAATCAACAACGTAAACTATTCCGGTTACGCGGCAGGTTGAAGGGCGGTGTTGCCACAAGTCGTTCTATTGTTTGCTAATAGTTGAGTAATTATTTATGCATGTTATAGATTCAACGTCATTATAAATAAATAATACTGACAATATAGCAAAACAGTTTAAGAACATTTTGACATAAATTTAATAACCTTTAAGCTAATATTTTTGTAGGGAGACATGTCAAATATAATTCAGTGATAAGTATCTCTGAGTATTTTATTATCAGTAAGGAAGCACGTAAATGTCTTGAAAATTATTAAATATAAAATAAGTGATGGAACATGATAAACACTGAAAACTTTGTTTTCAGAGTAGAAAAACACATAAAAAAGAAATAAATAACACTAGCTTTCAGAACAAATAACAACTTAAACGTGGCGACTGTCCAAAATCTTACATCGGTCAAACTGGTAGAACTTTTACCAAACGTATAGCAGAACATAAAAGAATTTTCAGTAATAGAAAAACAGATTCTACATAAGCACTGTTTACGTAAAACATTGTTTAAGACTAAGCTGCAAACCATTAGACCACTTTAAAAACAACATCAAGATCGGAAAGTATTATTAATTGGGAATTTTTACCATATTACCTATCTTGTAATCTTATTTATTGTGGTATAAAATTTATCCACAAAGAAAAATATTCATTACAATTGTTATTTATTATTCACCAATTTTTCTTCACTGCTCTGATTCACCATAAGTTGTCGACGTTTTGTTTTCAAAAAGGTCACGACCCTCGGACCTCTTTATAGGTAAATCTGAAAAGCCAGAAGCATTGAGGGCCGGCTGTAATTCCAGTGAACGTTTCGGTCTTTGAGCCTAATGTATTTACTTTAAGCTGTGCGGATGACCAAGTCATTACAGCTCGACGACTTTACTTTTATAGCCAGGAAGTTGATGATAAATACAGACGACCACAATAGCGAATAAGACGACATAAGGGTGAACTATTAGAAGTGAATCACACAGCCCGAGTTTCAAAATATTCTTGGATAAGACGAACAGAGATTTATGTACGATGATCGACAAAAATCTCCAACTACCTTTTGATGCTATGAAATATTCAACCCTCGAAACGATTATAGAATAAATACAAAACATTGAGTACTAATGTAAACCAGAGAAGTTGGCAAGCCTTTTTTGTGAAACTCTCTCTTTCATACACTATGACATACTAATCTTAGAAACAATATATACAGTGCTTTTCAGATAAAAACTATCCACTTTAAATAACTTTTAAACATCAATTAATATTTGAAGGGGGAGACATTATCTCATATTTAAGGTTGTTGGTAAACGCACCCTCTCATCCCCCATATCATGATGATTCTGTATCACTGAAGTTAATTAGGCAAATGGTTGATCGTTTTGGGACAATAGTAGAAAATGATGATAATCTTTCCGAAGATTTGGTTGTACTTCAACATGATGGAGCTCCTTCACACTTTGTTCTACCTGTGAGACAATTTTTAAATGAAACTTTTCCCGCTCATTGGATAGATAGAAGAGGACTTTGGAAACCCACTTTGATATTCACCAAGAAACTCGCTCCTCTGAATATGCACTCAGGTGACCATATAAAATACTCGAAAATATTTTTTATGCTGTATTAAGGAGGGTTGTTCCCCTATAGTTTCTACATTCCAATTGATCACTCTTTTTGATCATTTAGGGTTTAAATGCGCCAAATATAAAAAATTACGCGATTTTACCATTTTAAAACCGAATTCATAGCTTCAAATTTATAAAAGTCGCAATATCTTCACTGATGACAAGCGATCAAGCAAATAAATGTACCCAAAGAACACCGAACAAAGATATTGAACATTAGAGTAAAGACGTCTACAGCAAATTAAATAGAAAATGAGATGGAGCGAAGGATTTAAGGAGTTTGTAGGACAAATATGAAAAAGATAAACATAATCTAGTGGCACATGGAGACGAATAGATGATTATTAATTTATTTATTTTATATAATTAAATAATGCTAAAGCTTTTGCTTTTTATAATTATGTATTAAAATCTTAAAATTTATCTTACACTTAATTTTAAATGGACACAAAAACAACTATTTAGTTTTATCTTAAGACGTACTTAACATGCTACAAAACGTCACGTCTGCCATTTAATTAATTAATCAATTACCAACCATTAATTAATCTCTTTATCTTGTTTTCAGCAAGTGACCTTGATTCAATACGAGCCCTTTTCAATGAGAAGGAGAAGGAGCTATCTCTGGCTGTGGCCAAAGTGGAGGAGTTAACTAGACAGTTGGAGGAATTAAGGAGAGGACGGTCGAACAAAAACTCGCCACCACCTTCTGCCTTAGAATTGGATAAACTCCGAAGGGAGCTCATGGTAAGTTTCTTATCTATTATCTGCAAGTCTGAAGCCAGGCGACAAACCGATAATTTATACTGTGGCCACTCACACTGACGGCTCTCTGAAATTAATTTTCGGCTTTAGGCCAGTTCGAATAATTACGAAGTTTCTGTTTTTAATGGCCGTTTTCTAGTGTATTGATCCGTGAAAATGTGCACTCAAAGTTTGTTTGTTTTTGCGACATCGGTGCATTTGTAAAAAAACAATGGCTGTATTTCAAAACTTAACATTTGATAAATGGGGCAAGTTTAATGAATTTCTGCATAAATATTTTACGGGAACTATTTCATTCTGTCAGTTTTCATCGAATTCCTGTTCGTTATAAAATATATTTGACATTGCCTCCAATCATCTGTTATTTAATGTTATTTGATCATTTTGAGCAGTGTATTTGATTGGTCTGACATTATATTATATTTATTATGACAGACAAATAATAAAATAAACAAACAAACAAGAAATAATTGATTACATTAAATGATTACTAAATTATACTAAATTTAGGTATGTAAAAATAAAATTAATATTTTGCAATATCTCCATTAGCATTGATAACAGCTTATAGTCTTCGTTCTATCTGCGTGAAAGGAACTATGAAATTGTCTTCTTCGGAGAGCTCTTCCCAAACCTGTTGCATACCGTGCCACAGATCTTCAGCATTTTGAGGTATAAAATTACGCCGATACAACCGTTTTATAATAACCCCCTACACATTCTCGATTGGGTTTAAATCTGGGCTGTAGCTGGGCCATGGTAAGGTTTCGATGTTGTTATTCGGGAGCCACTGGTTTATTATATTTGCAGTGTGAACAGGACAATTATTTTGTTGGAGGATAAAACTATTTTCTGGATTCAACTGTTCTACACTAGGAAATATGATGTTTTCTAGAATATTCAGATAAGTCTGCCCAACAAACCTGCCATCAATACGCCATACCATTCCCATTCCTCTAGAGATGAAATCCATTCCCATACGTTGGCGCTAAAATGACCAACTGCTCGATATCTATCAATATATAGAGGATTAAATCTATTAGTATCTGGTCTATACACCCCAATTTTTTTTTTATTGGGTTAATGCCTCGGCAACTATGATCATTGGCATGATACAGTCAGGTACCTAGTGTAGTGTGTGTGTGTAGAGTAATTGTCTTGATACTTAGCAAAGTCGACGTCATTGTCTTTGCTAAGAGACGCTAATTGTATCCGAACGTCTGCGGTCCCTCTGGTGAGTACCGATCGCACAAGGATAGAAATTATTTTCATTTATTAATTTTTAATAAACAAAAATTTCTCCACCCAGGTGAGATTCGAACTCACGACCTTTAGATTTAAAGGTAGGCGCTCTTACCACTGAGCCACAGAGGGGGTTGCACCCCAATTTTGCCCTTTTTAGAAGATTGAAGATTTTTCTCATCTGTAAATATTACCCTGTCCCAAAAATCTTGATTTTATAACTGATGGTTTATCAACTACAGATTTTCTGGAAAGATAGACAGCATACTTGTTTATTAGAGATTCTTGACGAATAAATAATATTTTTTTTAGTATATTTTAATTAGCATATATTAACATTTTTTATAGTATAGTATAATATGGTTCAGAAGTGGTCCTAGTTGGCTAAACTGAAGATGATGTCTTGTTCTTTTAGTGAACATTTTGGACTGATTTATTGAGATGCAATAGCAGAGAACATTTGATTGCGTTGAGTGTAGAGGTGGTAAAAACTTTCATTGACGATAAATTATTATTCTTCATTTAATTTTACTTGAACACTTTATTTTAATTATAATTATATCCAATTACGGCTCTGATTTTAATTGTTGTTGATAAAAAACCAGTCCGGTGTTTACTATGGTGAAAATACTAATGTAAAATTGCGAATATATTGGAGCTGAAATTAAACACACGATGTGGCTCGGAATCAGATCCGGTCTTTAAATGGGAAAATTATTTTAAAATTAAAAAAAGATTAACGAATCGTTCTGGAGGTATATTTATTTTGGGAGATAAAATTTTTAATTTAAAAAATAGAAGGGACAGTGGTATCTCAGCTATAAAAATCAGGGATCATCTGACCATCCTGTAAGAGACTGGAAATAGGTGAAAAATAGTCAACGCTATATGATGTAATGTTAAAAATCGGAAAAATCCAACAAGGAAGGCTGATCTCTTAAGTCATGGCAGGCAATTGGCCTCGATACAAAAAGCGCCTTAGAGCATGGATTATATAATGATATGAACACAAAATTAGATTTGTTGCTGATAGAAATTGTTAAATAAGCTCAAAAATTAAACTGCGACATCCTTACTCTAACAAATACCAAAAAACAATCAATGCAAAATTGCGAAATAGTAGAAAATGTATTGCAAAATATAAATATGTAAAATGTAAAATTAAAACTATTAAAGTCAAAGGTTACAGCCTCGAAGCTAATCTCTTGTCTTGGGAGTGAGTTGGTTGATTTCTTAAAGACTGCCAAAGAACTTGGTGGCTGGACACTCGAAGACGATGTGGTTAATTGTTTGTTTAACAGCGCTGCATTTGTCACATCCCGGATGGCATTTATACCCCTCTGGCTCAAATATTTGTTACAAACTCCATTACCTACTCGTATTCTATTAAGGTTGCACCATTCACGACGAGGAAGAGAAAGGCTGTCTGGTTTAATTGTAGGGTTTTCTATGAGATTAGCATTTCTGATATCTGGATTCCATTCGCCCATCTAGTGCTCCTCAGTAGTGAAATCAGCCAATCTTGTAGCAGTTCTAGTAGGTGGATGTCTGGATTTCAGTCTTAACTCTCTTTGGTCTAGCACAGCGATATCTGTAATTTATCGGTAGTGCTAGGTTTTGTTGGCATTTTTGAACTAGGATGTTGAGTGTGGCTAGTCGTCTTGTTGTTGGTGGAGCGATGTTGCTTAAAACTGGAAGCCATTGGGTTGGTGTAGGCTTTATAGTTCCCGTTATGTGCCTCATTGTTTGGTTTAACTGGGTATCTATGACTTTCGTGTGATGACTGTTTAGCCAGACAGAAGCGCAATATTCTGCAGTAAGATATACTAAGGACAGCGCGCTTGCTAATTTCTGAATAATGTTATTGCGGGTCTTTATTTTTGTCGAAGTGTTTTCCAAATGATGTTTAAATGTTAGGGTATGATCTAGAGTTACGCCGAGGTATTTTGGGTTCGAACTGTGCTTTAGTATGGTTCCCTCGCCTTCTATATTTAGTCTGTAATTTGCCTTGTAGTTGTTAAGATGTCATTTCTTAAAGTATCTGGTAACAGTCTTTAGATCTGCTTCTATGGTGGTCTAAAGATGAAGTGACAAGCTTTCATAGAGGTATTAATCCGCTAATGAACAAGGAGAATTGATTATAAAAATGAAGAAGAAGAAGAAGAAAAATAATGTGAAAAAACTAAGCTCTAAGTTAGTACTAGATAGTACAGAAATATGCATAGTTGACAGATTTCCAAAAGGAACATAGAAATGCCACGAAGTGTCTCCAGCGGGCACTATTTCTCGCTATACTTTGATTTCAAATCAGGATTTTCATATCGTCCAGTAAATTTTTGAACAACTAGAAAAACAACTTAAAACAAGTTTTAAACTCAATAAAAGTCAGAAAATTTGAATAATTGGGACACATGAGAGGAAAAAGGCGAACTGTTCAACCGCGTAACAAACAAAATTGTAATTTCCAGAATGATATCGAATATCCGATAGGATCGAAACATAAAGAAAAAGAAGAAGCATTCATTAAATCTAAAAATATGTCACCTTGGAAATTCTTTATTATCTGTATATAGTATTAAAGACTATCTACTCCACAAAGAATCCGATATACCGATATTCTACTTGTTGAACATCAAATAAAATAAGTTCCCTATTCGAATACGCATCAATTCAATCTCGTCTCATGTAAATCCTGCTTAGTTCTCGAATACAGTACTTACGAACGAAATATTCATTAAAATCATATATAATGCAACAACGAGAGATATAAAACCTTCTTTATTCGGGAAACGCTGAACGATCTTCCAATTCTCCACTCAACTCAAAAATTAATGGAAACAGCTGAGATGTATCGCAGTACACGGGCTGTTATTTATTTTTCCTCCACTGCTGGAGCTATGCAGTCAATTATTAGTATATTTTTCGTTTTATTCGCCAACAATGGAAGTTTTGAGGTAAGAGTAAGTAAAAAATTTACTTGTACAAATGTTGGTGATTTTTGCCATATCCAATAAAGCTATTTGAATATTTTATTCACGTGTTTTGTAAATTTTATAAAAGTTGATTGAGACATAAAAGTCATTATTTACTTCTCAATAAAACTAGTAACATATTAAAATGTCACAAAAAAAGTAGCTTCATTACAGTATATTTTCTGGTATAGAATTTAGTAAAGATATATTATACATGTTTTGTGGCAATTCTAATAATATAATGAACGTGGCATATACTAGTATTATAATTCTCGAGGAAGTACATAAATACACACATCCATATATTATACCTGTACATTATTAACTCATGTGCTACCATAATGTCTGGCTCCCGGGGGAAACAATGCTAAATATTATTCCAGAAAGCAGGCTCTCCGGGATTCCTTGTGGCTTTACTGGAATATAATATATAAGCTGACTAGGTCGTTATACATGGTAACATTTTTGATTAATTACCGTGCGGAAAGATGGGGGCGTGAAAGGGGGATTTTTGTAATGTGCCAACGTTCGGGAAACTATAACTGATCGGAAAATAACTTAATTGGGAAATATTGCTCAAGGATATAATCTGTTTATGGATGTCAATAGCCATTATCATGTACCTATGGCTTAAACTTTAACGGGCAAACCCTGGAGCTCGAATTTTATATTTTATTACTTTATTTGGTCACCAGCATCTAGTTTTAGATGCTGGTTATTAGAATTAATTCATATTTGCTCGGTGCTTGTTTTATATTTTTTTAATGG